CCCCAAAACCCCAAAACCCCAAAACCCCAAAACCCCAAAACCCCAAAACCCCAAAACCCCATGTTGCTTTGTAGTTGCTGAATTAATTATTAATGGCTGATGTTGTTAAGAACCTCTGCGGTTTCTGATACAAGGTGCTCTAGAATCATCTCTGATAAGTCGATTTTTACCTGTGACTCTTCGAAGTCGTAGTTTATCCATTTGTAGTCTCCTTCGAGAATGTCGTTGGTGAGGAGACTTGCTAGTCTCTTTTCTCTTACTTCGTTAAAGCCTATCTCGTCGAATTGGTTTTCGTTTATAAATTCTCGTTTAGGCATTGTTCCTGCTGATGTGAACCACCACCGGAATAAGTCTTGCTTTACTATTTCAAACATTTTGCTGAATTCCAAAATTTCATCTTCACGAAGCTTACGTAATTTGGTGCTCCAAGGCATGGGCACTCCTTCTTTTCCATAGGGTCTAAACTGATCTAGACTTTCATTTATACAATCGAAAAGGTTATTTATGCATGACTTCATCTATCATTGAGAGAGGGAATCCGTCTCCTAAGCTATTTGCACTCTGGCTCCTCGTTTCTTTCAATTTGTTTCATTTTCTCGATCTCGAGATAGATCTCTAAGCCAAGAATAGGAATGACAGGATCGTAAGTATCAAAATGAATATAATTGCCAATATCTGATGTCTGCAGGAGTCCCAGCATTTCAAAAGGATCTCTCTGGATAGGAGTCAGAATGTTGTTTATAAAATCTGACTCATGTTTAAGGATTTCATCAATAACGTCCTTTAAGTAGTTGTCTATTACTCCAAAGTCCATTGGGATCCCTTCATTGCTTTCAAAGGCAAGTTTAGAGACAAGCTGCTGGTTCGTGAACCAAGAGAATGGAGATTTGTTTAATGGATCGTATCATGCTGAAGTATCTGTCACTTCTAAGATAGGCTCAATTGTCTCTCTTTTAGGAAACATATTTTCCTTTATTTCATTAACCAACTGGTTGAGAAGGTCATTGACTATCCTTTCTTTCTGCACCCCCTGTCGAGGCTTTGTGTGCACACTAATAACAGGATGTATTTGTACGCATTCTTCCTCATCTGGTAGATCTGGTGGTTTAGAAATATTCATAGATGGATGAACTATATTTAGAGAAATATTCTGTTCAGTACCATCAAAAATTAGCATATCGTTTGAAGGAATTTCGTCACAATCCTTCTTTTTCAATGATTTCAAGAGCTTATCTGCCATGTTTTGAGGAGAAAACGCTCCAGTTACTTGAGGCTCAAACTTTGGGGAAGTATCTGTCTCGACTTGAGAAGGAGGCAACAATATCTCTGGGTTTATAATCTTCTTATCATCTTCCTTCTTAAATAGCTCATTAGAGTTCTTTGGATAATTATTTTCAATAGGATCAGTTCCAATACTTTGACAGACTTTTTGTGGTACTTCTTCTTTACTTTGCTCTTCTGGTGAATCAATATTGCTGATTTCTTTCTCTGTGCTGCTTTCTTCAAATTCTTTCTCAGAATCTTTATCAAAGTTTATAGTATCTTTAGACTCTTCTTTATCTGTCCCTTCTAGAGATTGCTGGCTATTTTTACCAAGAATTTCATCTTCCTGACTAATTTCTTGGTTGAGATCTCTGAGGAATTCTTGCGTAATCATACCAGAGAATTGATTTTCTAGTTTCGAAAAACTTTCAGGCTCAGATATATCCTCTTGGCTTCCTAGAAGTTCCACTATATCTAAGTTTTCTACTTTCTCAATGCTGATGTCATTAAGGTTTTGACTGTCTTGGCTCTCTTGGTTCTTCTTATGCTCACTTTCAGTTTCATCAACATCATTGAGAGACCCATGATTGCTAGGTTCTTCTAGCTTCTTAATTTGTGGGACTTCAGGCATGGTATCTTCTGAGTTATTTTTGTTGTGGTGGTACTCAAAAACAAAATTATCTCGTGGAGTTTTCTCTTTTATAGGCTGCTTAGCTTCTTCCTTAGACTCTTCTTTTTCTTCAGCTGGTTGTTCATACTGTTGAGGATTTTCTGAATCATCAAGAAGTTTTTTATATAATCCTTCTGCATAAAAGGTTTCGCTATGATTCTTTCTATCGATTATAGTCTCTGTTGGGATTAACGAAGATATCTTTAATTGATTAGTTTTCTCCAAAGCAGAAACTACAAAATCTTTCCCATCGAGATTGAGAAGGGAAGAGTTATGAGTAAGGACAGATATGTGAAGATCAGAGTTTGATTGGAGTAGTCTGTTAGGTTCAGAGAATCTAATAACCTTTGTTTCCTCATCTTCATCAATCTCATCATGATCATTAGACTTTGTCTCTTCTCTATACGACTGAAGATTGAATGATTCTATATTGTTCTGACTGATGGAACTAGCATAATTATGACTTGCCCTTCTAGATCAATCAATGCTTCCTAATTGTTGCTTAAGGATTTGAGCGTTCTCTTCTGTCTGCTCGAGTACTGCTCTTGTTTGGTTCCATTTCTCTAGTAAATGAGTTTTTGTGTTTTTAATTTCTTGCTTTTCTTTAGCTACCCATCTCTCAAGTTCTATTTTTCTCTGATGAAGCATCCTTGGGGAGTATTTTTGACTCATGATCATCTTATCAATTATCTTATTTTTCAGTCTTTTCTCTATACCTAATCGCCTTTTCTCTGAGTTGCAAGAGAACTCCAAAATCTTTGCTTTCCATCATGTTGTTGAACTGTAGAAGGCTAAATTTCTGGAAGGAACTATTATTTTCAAAGAATTGAGAAGATGTTGAAGATATTGGTGTTAGTCCACCAGCATAGCCTGATATTTCAACTCTCTTTTTAGTAGCTGCATCACTATTGTCTTCATCCTTGTCCTCTCTACTCAGTAAATATTGTGGACTTGTAGTATCCTCCTTTGAATTTATTTGAAAACTTCTTGGAGTATGAGAGATTACATCTCTAAGTAAAGAATCTGGCCCATTGAACAGTTTCTTCTTGGTATCAGATCTCTCTGTATTCCTCCCAGAATCATCCTTGTTAGAAATAACTTCGATCAGAGATCCTGACCCTGCTAGGTCTTTTAAGGCTTTTAAAGCTTCTTCTCCGTTGATAGACCGAATTCCAAGATTGTTATCTCCTGATAAGTAATTATGCTGTTCTTCGTTCTCGATATTATCGTTTGTATTAATGGTTGACAAATGAACTATCTTTTCCTTCATATCCAAACTTTCCTGGGTGATCTCAAATGGATTCATAGTATTTTTAGTTATTTCCTTCTGCTCTTCAAGTTCTCAAGGAGGCTCTTTGATTTCTTCTTTCGGAGATTTGATATAAATCTTGGTCATTTCACTTTCGACACTTTCTTTGTCTGAGCTCTGAAGTTGGCTGTCTTCATGAGGCTCTTTTATGGCAGTGTCAAACTCTTTCAACTCCTCCTTTGAACTATGGAATTCTTCAAGTGACTCTGGATCCAGATTTGGGTCATAACTGCTATTTTCTTGTCTGCCTTGTTCATCATGCTTTAAGTCTTTTTCAAAATTAATAGAGGAATTTTTAAAATCATCATAGATTTCTAAATCAGACTTCCTATCTAAGAGATTATCAGGAGTAGCATCATCCTTGATACTGTTCCTGAGAGTAAAGTTCGGGAGGAAGATCCCCTCATCGCTATACTTCTTAAGAAGCTTGTTGATCTTCCAATGACAGTAGATTTTGAAAGCAGCTCTTGCTTCACAAAGCGTGATTTTTCACGCAAATATATCGTTTTGATTATTAAATTTAAAATTCAAAAATCTTGGGTTGATGGTGTTTCTTTCTTCAAAGATCTTATGCTTGATCAATTTCTTGCCAGACCTCCTCTTATTTAGTTTTAAGTTTCCTTTTATTACGGAGAGGCGAGAAGCTCTTTCTTGTTTTGATAAAGGGCCTCTTAAGGTCTAACGTTCCTTTCATCAAACCATTTTTGTTCCTGTATACATTGAGCCTCTCAGCATTTATAGTTCCTCTTCTAGCTTGCTTCATCTTGGTCAGGAGGCGAGTCCCAGGAGCCGATTTTGGTCGAAGTCCTTTGGGTCTCCGTCTCTTATTTGATTTGGACCTCCTTCTTAGAGGAGAAGGAGCATCTTGAGCATCAATAGTCTTCTTCAATTGCTGATTTTTAATAGATTTCAGAATTTTATAGTACTCCATATAGAATTCATTCGATAATTTTGTGGAAAAAGCTGAAGTAGAAGACTTCATCCTTTGTCTTTTCTGCCTCTTTAAGTTGCCTCGGAGGTCATTCACTTGAGAGGTAGAGATTTTTCGACTAGAAATACCTGCGTTCTTTTTCCTATCTTTTCAGAAACTGATTGCTTCTGGGTCAAGAACAACTCCAAAATTCTTTCTATTTGTCTGAATTTTATTTTGGGTTGAATTACTCCTATCTTTGAAACCTACGAATCTTTTGGTCTGAAGCCGAGTAAATTTATTTAGAGCTCGAAGGTTGTTGCATATTTTAACTTGCTTTTTAAAATCAGTGAATTTTTCCTTGAGTTCTTCCTTCATAATCTTCTTCCTCTTTTTCTTCATATACTTTCTGATCTTTCCTTGCTCCTTATACTCTCCAATGAATGCCTTAGGGTCTTTTCTTTTAGTGGTTTGAGCTTTTTGCTTAAATTTTGGACACACTTGGTTAGTCTTTGATTGAGTGATTGATTTCAAGTCCTTACTTGATTTAATCCTGACCCTTTCTATTGTAGACTTTTCATTAAAAATGCCGTTCTTGAATGAGAGTCCATCGCTACTATCGATACTGGAAGATTTCTTTAGAAGGTCTTTCCCTGTGATAGAGTTTTTCAGGTTTCCACTTTTAGGGTTCAGCACACTATCTGTAGACATGAATAACTTATCATTCATAGCATTGACTTCTTTCCTGACTTCTAAGAATTCTCTCCATGCTCTGGGGTTTTGGAACGTAAGTTTCGAGTCCTGATTGATCTTGCTCATGTCCTTCATACCTTCTAGAGGAATAAAACTGTCAGGATTACCTATATCATTTTTATTCCTGCCAAAAACTTTATTTAGCCTTCTTTAGCTTGTTCTGACTTGAGCTTTTACAGCTGCTCTTCTCATGAACTTCCTTGATTTTCTTGAGGCTTTTCTTCTCTTCTTTCCTTTTATTAAGACTATCATTTGGAGCTTTTTCAGTTCTGCTTTTCTTATACCCAAAGCAAGTCTTCTTTGAAGTAGTGGCTTCCATGCTGTCTTCTAAAGATCCTATGAACATAGTGATGCATCATTACCTCCATTGATTCCAAACTTAATACTTTGGCTGCTATTCATTATGTCAGAATCAAAGCTGTATTTGTCAAGTCTCTTAGTTCTGTTAAATGATTTATTAAGTGTAGATTTAGCGCTGCTGTCAAGACGGTTGATTGGTTCCTTCATGAATGACTTCCTACACCTCAATTAGCACATCAAGACATCTCTGGCTTACCTTTTTGAGACATTAAGGTTTGATTTGTAAATCTTGGATGATCTCTGGTTGCTTTTCTGATGGTCTAAATTTTTAAATAAATTTAAAATCTATCAAATTTAATTTTCTCAGATTTATTTATAAACTTTGCTGAAATTTAGCTCTTACCTTTCATCTTCTGGCTTGCTTCATTAAACTGCTGGCACATAGACTTCGTATTCGGCTTCTTGATTGGTCACTTTAGCTTCTTATTCGTACTTTTTAGGACTGAGGAATTATTCATGCATGAATTTGTAGATTCAGAAGGCTTGCGAGATTTTGAATATTTGCTCGTCTTTGGCTTAGTATTCTTTAAACCTTTCTGATCATACTTCCCTGTTGCTGCTTTATTTTCAAATAGAGCTGTTCATGTCATCCTTTCGGGCATTTTTGTCAGCTTGGAGTTTCTTCTTTGATTTTAGTAGTTTATTTTCGGACAGAGCTTGGCGATTACCTGCCTTCATATTTTAAAATGTTAAAGTATTTTTAATTTATAATCCAATATTTTTTAAAATCATGGGGTTTTGGGGTTTTGGGGTTTTGGGGTTTTGGGGTTTTGGGGTTTTGGGGTTTTGGGGTTTTGGGGTTTTGGGGTTTTGGGGTTTT